ATACAATAGAACCAAAGAGCAGATCCTTGCAGAGCTAGCTTTCACTTATTCTGCCTGATCGCCGCACATGCCATCATGTTTAGATGATACGACCGTGTCCTTTCCTTTTCCATTCCCCTAGATGTCCCCATGTAAAACCCCCTTTCAGCGCACCATCTACGCAACTGGCATTTTTGCATCCTCAAGGCTTAAGTCCTTCAATCTTTTAGCCCGGAGCGCAAAACCCCCTGCATCGTTGCTTTCTGGTGTAGATTTTACAAGTATTTGTTGGCTTCCGATGCACCACTCTCTACAGGTCTACTACAAAAGCCTTCAAATCTGGGTGCTTTACGCGCTGGGTTCTTCCGCCCCCGAACGCCCAGCTCAGCATCTTTCCAGACCAGCTGGCGTTTTTGTATCAACGAGTCCGAAATATGCCTCAGACAGTCCCAAAACCAGATACATTGTTGCTTTCTGATTGCCAGAAGCGGTATGTCAACACCCCAAACTGCATTGGAGCTTTGGACTTTGGGCGCAGCAGAAGCAAGAGATGAATTTGGAACCGGATGCCGTGCAAGGGACAAGTAGTGGCTTTATGGGGTCATAGAGGCATACACAGCTTCAGGGGCCACAATGGTTACCACCGCCCATCTCGACTATTAAACGCGGTCTTACCGGCCGGGAAGCGTTGAAGTTCAGCTAGCGCGAAATTCAGATAGCATGACATGTTCATGCCTGATGACCCGCAGTTGGCTTTTTGTAGATCTACTGCACGGGGTGAGCACATTTCGCGGCGCACTATAAACGTAAGGGTATCACTTGAATTTGATCATGCCATATCATGCCCGCAACATTGCGAAACCATATTTGAACAGAACTCGAAGGAGAAACCTTCTCTTTCAAACCCACTGCTCGGATCCTTGACGCTGGCTGAAATTGAATGCTATCCTAGTTTGTTTTCAGTGTTGGATTAAAATGGATTGAAGCATTTAATCCTGGGTACACATAGAGAGGGAAAAGTGGACGCATGTACAAGTGCAAGTCGGAAGTAAACCACGACACTTCCCAAGTAATTTGGGGTTTCGACAAAATGCAGGGACTACAATTCCAGCCTTTTAAGTGGCCTTCACAAACAATGCCTGCCTAAAGCCTTTCGCGGTTGTCTTCTTGTAGGCCTGAGGGTTTGAGGTTCAAGCTTTGTGGTTGCAAAGTTCATACCCACGAGGGACGCCGCCGAAACACATAATGCATTCGCTCTTGGATGTTGCATGCGCGCAAAACTGTGTCATCAGATGCATGGTTGCAACCGTCACGACCAAGCACGGTCAGGTTCTCATAGCTTCAACATGCACGGCGCCGTATTCAGATGACATCATTATTGGCCACGTGCCGAAGTTGAAGTTGCCCACATAGGCCCCAATATAGTGGACTCCAGAATTTAAAGAAATCTTGTTTGCAACGCCTTTGCATGTAGACAGCGCAGTTACATAATCTAAGCCCCAAACCGGCCCCAAACCCATGAGAGGGTATTGCAGCTTCGAGTAGGCAGACTACAACCCAAACCATGTGCCCATTTAAGTTTCCGAGTAGATTGTTGGGAAGCCTCTTTTCTTCCCAACCAGTAGGTATGCATAGCTTAATCTACAGTGAATCGACAGTGTTGCGACCGACCGTTCTATTTCCAGGGGCAACACCAGGTAGGACTTACATTACCATATAATGCCGGGTGAATCCGCGCTGGAATGGCTAAATCCTGAGTTCATCTTCCAGAGCTTAACATTTCGTGTTCAACGCAGGGCTTCGGACCTGAAACCCCTGGGAATATGGTTGTGTCTCAAGACGCAGTCACTTCGTAAATTTTCCTCAATGGGGATGCTTGCTTTAAAGGCCCCCAGACGATTTTCCGGCATGGAAAACAATCTACTACTGCATTTGTAGTTGCGCTGGTGGATGCCCGAACTCGAGAGCGCGAAGAGAGAGATTGTCATGATACTACGGCTTTGGTATGTAGAGTCACACAGGGTTTGACCCACAATGCAGAACAAAACTTCTGAATAGCAGACCTAGCTGTTGTTCATTACATGTACAAAGGCTTCTGGGGTTCTGGGAATCTTGCAGCCGTAGGTCTTGGCCGATGGGCTGTGGTCCATGGCGGTAACTCGCACACTTCCGGATCCGGTGCTCAAGGCAAGGCGTTGGGGCTTGCACAAGACCAAGGTCTTGATGTAGCGCTTCTCAATGGCTGTGGTGAGCGCAGAGTACAGCCATATGATATATATATATGTATATATATATGTATACATGTGTATGACTAGGTTAGGGTTAGGAGATGTACATAACGTGCGTTTTGGCGGAGATCCTGCCCGACCTTCCTCAGTTGAGATGGAAGCCCATGCCCAAAAGTGACCCTGCGAAGGCTGCTGACCACTTTGATCAAGCCCTTTTTGTTGGTAGTTTTTCAGACAGTGCATCGTGTTTTGGGTTCATGAACACCCTTCTCAAGACATTTTCCTACGAGCCACCACCGGGCTTTTGTTTAGGGTGCTAGGACTGCTTTGTGTCGAAGAGTTGAGAGTTTTAAGTTGAGAGGTTTGCGCCTTAGATTGTTTTTTTGGAGCTTAGGTGGGGTCTTTCACAAGTCCGTCTGCCAATAGCCTTTCACATGGGCAGGGGGAGTCTGATGGGATGCATTTCAAGGATCCATGATTGTTACCACGGATCATTCTTGAAACCCCAATATCCCAAGGCTCCCAGGACCTCAAATCTCAATTGCATGGATTTATAGGGATGTAGGGATAATATAGGGTAATAATAATATGGGGTTACACGATTGAGGGTTCAGGTTTTAGGGTTTAGGGTTTAGGGTTAGGGCAGTTCTGCCCTTGGAACGAGGCCCTGGTCACAAAGTTTACGGAGCGTCTACGCAAGTGCCCGGCAAGCGAGTTTACCGCGCACAACACGCATCTGGGCCAAAGACAAGTCTTATGGCTGGTAATTACACAAAATCCTGGGTGACCCTAAGTACCCTTTGGCTTGAGAATCATGGTTTTATTAGGACATGCAGAATTTTAGCATCAAACATGACAGAAGGGTTTTGAAAACATCTTGAAATCCGATCCCCTACGATAAAATGGGGGGTTTGCAGGAAAATGTGCAGCTCACAATGGGTTTACACAGGGGATCAGCATGTGTTTCAGCGGGCGAAGAGTCGAGGTTGTCATGGCTTTACCTGGGAGTTCAGGACTGAAGTCCAGGTGCGTGTTTGAAGTCTCAGCTGGTGTGGGATCATGAAGGAGATAAGGTCCCAGTTCGGTCAACGTGAAAAGTTTGGGCCTTTGCGCTAGAGATCTCTCGGGTAAAGTTGGCACGTGCGCAGGGAATGGGCATGTCCTAAGCTACACGTGCCAAGTCGTGCCCAAAGGGGCCATGTGAGAAGTATGTTTAATGGGTGTATTATATCCACATTCTCTACTGTCCTTCTGGCAATAGTGTGTCTTAATACTACTTGCTTCAACCCTAAACCCAAAACCTAAGCCTATACATATGAGCTATAGTAGAAACTTCTAGTATCCCCCTTAATAACCCCTATAATACTCCAATAGATAGAACCCTATATACCCTCCTTTAAGGAGTTTAGACCCTAAACCCTGAATATTAAACCCTAAACCTTCAACCCTATAGAACCGTATCTCATCCTCCATAAAACCCCCTTTGAGGAGTTTAGACTATAGCTCAGATGTCTTAGCCAACGAGCTGAGAAGGAGAGCAGCCCTTGGCTTCCAAAGCCTGGATTGCTTTTAAGGAGCTTAAATCAAGTTCCCATAATGGGTATATATAGGGTTTAGGGTGTAGGCTGCAAGAGAGAGAGGGTTTAGGGTTTAGGGTAAGGAACTTAAGCTAAGTTACCAGAACATGGGTATATAGTATATATAAATACTAGAGTTTCCCTGTGAATGACAGAGTTTCCTTGTTATAGAGGCTTAAGTTAAGGTCCTTTGACAGCAAGTTACCTAAATATGGGGCTATAGTAAAAATAGGGTTTCCTGGCTATAGTAACTGAATTTGCTCTCTTTAACGTCAATTCAGACACTTTGCCTTGAGCAGCTACCCAGGCCCCATGGAAAATCTGGAAGGTACTCGTACGTTTAATACGAAAAACCTGCATGACCCTCAGTATCTCATTCCTCACAAATTCTGGGACTTTGGGCATATGAAAGTCATGCAGGATTTTTTAGCAGCAGCCGTACAACCCCCAATTTGTAACCCCGTCATTACTCCCAGCAAAACCTTCGGTGGCCCGGGCCCGAGAGACATTCAGGGCTCCTTGCCATGGCAAGTGATATTTCACTGGTAGTCCCGATATGGGGCAACTTCTTGTTCCCGGAAAGTTCCCTGAATTTGGGGGGATTCAGAGGTTGATGATTTTTTGAGCTGAGCCTTTTGAAAGCCCGTCTGGCAACAGATTGCAACATCGGATTTTTGCTTTCAGCCTTCAACCTACTCGGTCGTTTCCCGAAAGGGGACCCCAATATAGACCCCTATATACTATAATCCTTAGTATAGGGTCGCCCAAAACAGGCACCCCAAATGTTGAGAAAACCCTAAACCCTTGAACCCAGTGCTTCCCAATCCGTGCAGCAACTCAAGTCCAAACTCCTTAAGGAGTTTAATAGGGTTTATGGTTCAGAGTTTAGGGTCTAAGCTCCTTCAAAAGAGGGTTATATAGGGGAGTACTATAGAGGTTATTAAGGGGGATATATGGATTCTAGACTATAGCTCGGATGCCCAGGCCCGAAGCAACCCTGGACTTCTATACAGGACCGCAAAATGAAAGGCCTTGAAGTGATAAGCCATACCTAAACCACAAAAGTATGTAAACTAATAGCCCTAAACACCTAAAAATAGCCCAAAGGGCCATTATTCTACATACTTTTGGGGTCCAGGTAGGCTCACTAAAAAAAGTTTAGAAATACCGTTGACCCCAAACCCTAAATCCGTGAAGCATCCTCACCTTGCTCGAGGTATTCCATGATTTACTCGATTGCCATGCTGCAGGACTAGGGCTTCAGCCCGTTTGGGGTTCAGGTTTGAGGATTGAGGGTTCAGGCTTTAGGATTCGGATTGAGGGTGTACTAAACCCTAAATAGGGTGTAGGGTTTAGGGTGACATAGGTGTGTCCATTTAAAGCTTTAGCGGGTAAGCCTTGACACTTGCTGGATATAGTGTGGCCGCTAAGGAAATGCGTGTTGAGCAAAATTGTGTTGAAATTTCCTTCGGGGCAGATGTTGCGCAGCTACGTTTGCATTCGAAAGACTGAGCCCGACAGCCTCAACGTTACACCTCTTAAAGCATCCAGAAGTTGGAGCCCCCAAAGTAGTAGCAATAGTAATGGTAATAATAATCGTTATAGTTATAGTAGTAACAGTGATAATAATGATGATAAACCATATGCTAATAGTATTGTTCACTGTAAGACTGGTCTCACTCCAGCGGGGGGATTCCATGTTTGGGATCTCTCAGGGTCCTGTTTAAACCTGAGCTTTCAGGGTAGGGGCACTTCGCCTAGCTGAAGCAAGCAAACCTCAGGTTCATGACTTTAAACCCAGGGCTTAGGTGTGTTTAGGGTCCGAATCCCGTAGCCAAGCTCTTCATCCAAGAAGGGTGTTCAAACTTGCTCTACCTGGGCCCCAAGAGTATG